AGGAAATTGAACAGCAAGAAATAGAAGATTATAAACGTAGTTTTCTAGATTAGTTCTACCTTAAGGTTCAAATTTGATTGGTCGTTTTTTAAGGTTAAGTATTCACTCCAAATATATTTTTTTAATGACTAGATTTCCCTGTTTCTATATTAATTAATTAATAAATAATTTACATCCTTCCTTGTCGTTTATACCGGCCCTATTTATTAACACGCATTACGACGTATTCTCTAAATATTCCATAAGACATAAAATTACAAATTTTGAATAAGTGCTTCAAAACCATACGCTGAATGCCTCGTAAGTACATTTAAGACTACCAACAAATTATAAAATAAACACAAATAGAACAAGAACTGAAAAATTTACCAACTAATTTAAACTATAGAGAAAAATTTCCCCTACTTTTTTAAAGCCCTAAAATTTATAACATAACTAACAATTTAAAAAATCCTTCGAATCCAGAATTTCTACAAACTAAAATAATACATAGTTTTTCTAAGGGTATCAAATTAAGACAAAAAAAAGTATCAAAATAGTTGCAAAGCAAAGTTTTAAACGTTTTTTTCTAAATATAAATTCTAAAAAAAATTCCGAGTACCACCATGTGTCGAACAAAGCTCTTCTTTAATTAAAAAAGCTCCAATTTAATAAAGAAAATCCCAAATTTGATATTCGACTCCATAAATTGTTTTAAAAAATTGTCAAGACCAGCGACGTTTATCAAGATACAAATATTTAATAAAATTTTTAAGAATAATTTTTTATTTTAACTATTAGTGGATTTAAAGTATAGTGTAAATTTTCATAAACAAAAAAAGAAGCTTTTAGTGTCACAAATTAAAAAAAAACAAAATCCAAATAGTGTCAAATCGTAAAAAAAATAATAAATTGTAGTTTCTAATGGATGAATGCAAAGCCTACAATCAAAATAATTTCAAAAGACAAAAAATGTAAAGAAGACAATTATGCAGAAAAATGTCTATAAACCAATTTAACGTAATAACCCATAAAATTTCATATAAGACACCCAATCAATCATTTTCCCCAAAAAGTAATTAATAAAGATATATTAACCAAACAGAAAAAAGTCAAAAATTGCTTTTAATCGTTTTTTGACATCTCTCACGAAAAAAAAACACTAATGGCTTTGTTTTACTTAGAAAAGCAACTAATTAATAGTTAATGTTTTTCTAATAGTATTAAAAATTACTTCTTTTTAATTATATAACTATATATTCTCAATTCCGAAGGGTCTATAATGATGCCTATGCGTGTTTCATTTATCAAGAACTGAGATTAGATTAGAGGGAGGGGGGGTTTATTATGAAAAACTAGTCATCGTGCTCTTCCCCTCTAACAAGTTACCCAAAAAAAAATATTTCCTGAATCTAAGAAATCAATCCTGATTTTTATACTAATTTGATAATACAAAATTTTTTCTGATTAAATTACGTTTCCTGACAATTACAATTTTCTTTCAGCAACTAGATTATTTTATTGTATAACTATAATTATATTTAAAACAATATTTTGCCTCACTCATGTTAATAATTTTCTTAAATTAAAAAAAAACTACTGTCGTAAAAAAATTATATAGTAATTAAATAAAATTTTTTTCAAATGGAAACTAATTTTTTTTAAATCAAAACTAAAGTTTTTAAACAAGAACTAATTTTTAACGCATGTTGGTCGTAGTCGTTAAGGCACCAAGAAGCGCAAATTTGTCATGCGTTCGAATCCCTCCGAGGGTAAATATTTTCATTTTTGACATAAACTAATTTTTCTTCAATAAAATACAATATTCTGTACCCCACAGAAAATTATTTTAATCATAAAATTAATAAATATTATAAATTATGTTTTTTAATTAAATATAATTTTTTTTGATCGATAAGTAATGTTTTTTAAATCGAAAAATATTTTTTTTGTATTGAATATGTAATGAATTTTTGAACAAAAATAAATTATTGTTATTATGATTTTTTAAATTTAGTTTTTATTATTATTATTTATTATTATTTTTAGTATCTATTATTTTTATTAATTTTATCTTTTTTTCAGTATTCAGTTCTCCAAGTTTTTTAATTTTACTCTTCTTTAACTTATTTTTAATAACAAATTTTAAAAAATAGAGACGTGCAGTTATAAGAAAAAATAAATTTGATTTCCTTATTATTGACGTGTGAAATATGGTTGAAGAAAAAAAAAGCGATTAACGCATTGAGGGATTATCTCTCTATACATGTATATATAGAGTACGAGGGATGAATAAAAAAAGTCAAAAACGTGTTTCCTTTCAAAAATTTCCAATACTTGCGAAAAGCGATATTGAAAAATTCCACCGTGTTTGTGAGATTTTATTGAATAGCAGTTATATTTCTCTTTCCATTTTATTTATAAAGAATATTTAATAATTATAATAATATAACAGAAATAATAATAATAAAGGACAATAATTAAAATAGTAATCATAATTGCAATAATAATAGTAATAAAAATTGTAATAATAATAATAATAATAATAATACTAATAATAATTCAATAATAATCTAATAATAATTCAATGATAATTTAATAATAATCTAATAATAATTAAATAATAATTTAATAATAATAGTTTTCAAAATTGTTGAATAATAATTTGATACACAAAATTTAATGTGGTAAAATTTACTTTACATTGGCAAATTGTTTATTTAAGGCAAAATGTTTCAAGTAGAATTAAATTAATGTTTAATTAAAATGAAATTAGAATGAAATTAAAATAAAATTCAGACTAAATTGATATTAAATTAATAATATATTGGTAGTAAATAAACTATTAAATTTTATCTTTTTTTATTTATTTACCCCATAAACCCCTTAAAAAACATTTATTTATTTTTCATATTTTTCTCATTATTTGTTTTTTTTCCTAAGAAGTATTTAAAAGGTTATACGGTTAGTTCGAAAAGTGTGTCATTGAAATTTCCGATCGGTATCTGCATTCTAGTTTAATTAAATTTCAACCTAATTATTAAACCAATTGATTTAATTAATTTTCAAATAGCCAGAATTGAGTCACTGACCGGAATTATAATGCTACTAAAAACTTATATTAGTCGAGATTTTAAAATTTCCCCAAAAAGTGGAATTTAACATATTGAATGTTTCTTTATTGTAAATTCAATTTTTTTTATTAGGCTGTGAACGAAATTTTCCAGCATGTCAAATAGATTTTGTTTTTATTTTAAAATATAAGAAAATAAAATAATAAATTTAAAAACTAAATTTTAACAGATAAAGTTTTGAAAATGAAAATAAATTTAAATAAAAATTTTAGAAATAAATTTAAATAAATTTAGGTATACATAAAACGAAAAGAAATTTTAAAAAAAGAATAAAAATCAAATCGGAAAGATACCAAATAAGGGTATACAAATGATTGGTTGAAACATTTTTTTAAAAGTATAAATAAGAAAAAATCAAGACATTAAATTATTTACTAATTAATTATAATATTTAAATATAATCAAATGGATATTTAATTTTTGATTTGCATATTATTTAAATTATTTTTTAAATAATTAGTTAATTATTCTTTAAATTAATTTAATTAAGTTAATATTATTTAGCATCAAGAGTAGATGTCATAATAGCATAATATTATTATAATATTATTATTTTTAAATATTCCTAATTTTCCAACACAGTCATTAATAAACACCTTTTCTTCTAAATTCGTATCAATCTTTCGATACTATTACAATTTGTTGTTATTTGTTAACTATAATTTATTGTTATTTACAAATTATAATTTGTTACTATTTATTAATAATCTTGTTATTTGTTAATTATAATTTTTTTATTATTTATTACAATCTTGTTTTTTGTTAATTATAATTTTTTATTATTTATTAGTTAATATTATTTAGCACCAAGAGTAGATGCCATAATAGGATATTATTATAACATTAATTATTATTTTATAAATATTCTTAATTTTCCAACACAGTCATTAATAAACACCGTTTCTCCTAAATTTGTATGAATCTTTTGAGATACTATTACAATTTGTTGTTATTTGTTAACTATAATTTATTGTTATTTACAAATTATAATTTGTTACTATTTATTAATAATCTTGTTATTTGTTAATTATAATTTTTTTTATTATTTATTACAATCTTGTTTTTTGTTAATTATAATTTTTTTATTATTTATTAGTTAATATTATTTAGCACCAAGAGTAGATGCCATAATAGGATATAATTATAACATTAATTATTATTTTATAAATATTCTTTATTTTCCAACACAGTCATTAATAAACACCGTTTCTCCTAAATTTGTATGAATCTTTTGATACTATTACAATTTGTTGTTATTTGTTAACTATAATTTATTATTATTTGCAAATTATAATTTGTCACTATTTATTATTATTTACAAATTATAATTTGTTACTATTTATTATTACAATTTTGTTATTTGTTAATTATAATTTGTTTATTATTTATTATTTGTTAATTACAGTTTGTTACTATTTATTATTACAATTTTGTTGTTATTTGTTAATTAGTTATTTTTATTATTACTACCATTATTATTATTAATTATTATTAAACATATTATTATTATTATCAGTTAATGAAAATACATAACAGTGACGAGACAATACAAAAAATGGGTAACAATCCCAGTTCCAAATGTACCGAAATTAAAAATTGAGACAGGTCAATGAACCTTGAAAGAAATTTTTTTTCTTGTAACAAGTGGAAAAAAGTAACTTTCAACACTTTGAGAGTAGAATTTTATTCCCCTTAGTGATTTTTCGCCTGAATTTCGTATTAATTACTATGTAAATTCAAAAAAAAAGGTGATTTTTTTAGAATGCTCCTCCTGACCTAGTACGCGATATTTAGAAATGAGTCACTACCGTCAAGTCATTTTTTTAAAAATAAAACTGTTTTTCCCTGAGAAAATAAATTTTTCGTTTTCATTAATTTTATACTCACTTGATTTTTTTTTTTTTGAAGACTCGTCCTCTCGTGAGTGAATTCTCGGAGTTGAGCGATGCGGAATACCAGGCACTGATGTTATATGGGGCGGGTTCTAAAGCACCTTCCGCGGTGCCTTTTCTTCTCTATCCAAAAATCTTCCGTAAATTTATATCATTGGTTGTTTTTTTTCCTTGCCCTCGGGGGAAAAACTATTTTTTCCGGTAGAAATTAAATTTAAAGAAATCAATATAAGGAATGGAGGTGGAAAAATTAAAAAGAACACTTGCACAATTTTTAAAGCACTTTGAACACTAAAAATTAAGATTTCTGTTTAATGGGAGATAAGGAATAACTTAGAAGGATTTTTTTTTTGGACAGTAGAGAGATGAAGAAGTAAAAAGGAAAAAAAGGAAAAAAAAGAAGGTCGAGTAGGTGAACACGGGGGTTTTTTTTTAAAAAAGAGAACCACTATTTGCTTCACACCTGCACTCTTGACCGCAGCGGCAAGGACCCGCCCCGTACCATACTACACAAAAGTGTAGTGTATAAAGAGAGCGTAAAATTTACTTTGCGATAACATCACTCAAGACTATCGTAATCTCATAGTTTTTCCTATTTTCCTCCTTTCCTCGCTTTTTTTTCCTCAATTTAAAGATTTTGTGGTGAACAAATCCCCCTTTCGAATTGTGTGCACTAGCGACACACTCCACTCACTCTCACATACACACACACTCACTCGCACTTTTTTTTTAAATTCACCAAAAAAAACCTAAAAAAAATTCTTATCCACTTGGGTGAAAAATGAAAAATCCAACCTTCCGAATAAAATGATAATTTTCTAGTGTGTATTTTTCAATGACAGCCCCCGTCTTATGTTTGACGAAAAAACACAATTTTGCAAATCAGCGAAAAACACTTTTTTTTCACACGCACATATACACACACACACTTTTTTGGGGGGGGTGACAGGAAAAAAAATGTGTGCCCGTTTCCTTTCTTTCTTTTTTTTTACTCTTTCCTTTTCGTCGACGAAGGCCGTCTTGAAGGTTGGTGTTGTAGCCGCGCTGAGGCGAACCGAGCCAGCGCAACCGTTAACTGCATGCGTTACGCGCGCGCCGAACCTCGCGCAGCGGACGTCTAGTTAACTAAAAATTTTGTGCGCGCGTCCCCACCACTTTGGAGTCAAGCAGACGACGACGACAACGACAACGACGCTGCGCTGGTAACTCCAAATCCGTCCCGCGACGCACCCGTAAACACCAGATCGCCCTACAAACCCGATTACTCAGTAACACTACTACGATAAATTTTCATGTATATATATTAAATATATATGTGTTTGTGTGTTACACGTTCTAGAAATGTGTGCGTTTATACATGTCTATGTGCCACCGACAACGTCGATACGAAAACCCCCGGTCAACGTGGATCGCGACCTCCCGGCTATCGCACCTACGCATCCCCCCTCTCTTGCCGTTCATCCCTCATTCTCTCTCTCTCTCTCTTTCTGCCTTTGATTCTCCTTCTTTTTCTCTCTTACTCACCCCTTCCTACCCTCTCTCTCTCACTCTCTCTGCACCCTTTCTTTACTCGGAAACGTTTATATTCTCTCAGTGCAGATGCACTCAAACAACCAGACTCACGGCCGGTACAACTGCACTTGAAAGAAAATTCCTTACCCCCCGCACACACAGCTGAGATTAAGAATCCGCCATCTTACACGGTCATAAATATTTCATTTTTCAAAAAAAAAAAAAACAAGACCTTCTCAATATGTAAAAATTTGAATCGATTTCTATTTTTCATTTTCTCTTAATACTTCTATGCTAATACTTAAAAGAATTTTCAAAAAATTACAATAAAGAAAAAATTATTTTTGATCACATTTAAACCTATCGATTAAGTCCAAAAAAGTTTTGAACTTGTCCGAAGATTATTTCAACTAGTTTGGAACTTATTCTGAACTTGTTCAAAAACCTTGTTCAAAACACGTTCAAAATAAGTGCAAAAATACCTTCAAACAAGTTTCAGATTGTTCTGAACTTGTTTCGAACTAGTTCAAAATAGATTTTGAAAACATTATTCCAAACTAGTTAAAAACCGATTTTGAAAACATTGTTCCAAACTAGTTCAAACCACATTTTGATCAATGTTTCAAACTAGTTCAAAACACTTTTTGAACATTGTTCCAAACATGTTCGAAATATGTCAAAAGTTGTTCTAAACCAGTTTCAAACCGTTATGAATTCGTCCAAACAATATTCAAAACACGTTCTGAAGTTATCCAAACCTTCTTTTTTTTAACTATTTCGATACTTATTATGAACTTGTTCCAAACCTGTACAAAAACACATGCAAATCAGGTTTAAAAACTAAGGAAACAAGTTTCAGACAGTTCTAAATTTGTGTTTTAAACTAGTTCAAAACGTATTTTAAACATTGTTCCAAACATGTTCTGAATATGTCCAAAGTTGTTCTAAACCAGTTTTAAAAATGGTACGAACTCGACCGAACCATGTTCAAAACACGTTCTGAATTGTCGAAAATAAGTTCTGTAGTTGTCCAAACCTTTTTTTTAAACTAGTTCGAAACTTATTCTGAACTTGTTTAAACCATTGTTGAAACACGTACAAAATAAGTGAAAAAACCGTGTGAACAAATTTCAGACAGTTCTGAACATTGTTTCAAACTAGTTCAAGACACATTTCAGACATTGTTCCAAACACATTTGAAATAAGTCAAAAGTTGTTCTAAACACGATTTAAAGAACTTGTTCAAAATACTTTCTGGAGTTGTCCAAACCTTTTTTTCTAACTAGTTCGAAACTTGTTTTTTAAAACTGGAACCAAATTTGTACAAAAACACGTTCAATCTAGTTCAAAACACATTTGTAACCTTGTTACAGACATACATTGTTAGAATCTAGTTCAAAACATATTTTAAACATTGTTCAAAACATGTTCGAAACATGCAATGTCCAAAATTGTTCTAAATCAGTTTGAAACAGTTATGAACTTGTCCAAACCATGTTCAAAACAGGTTTCAAATTGTCAAAAATAAGTTCTATAGTTGTCTAAACCATTTTTTAACTAGTTCGAAACTTATTTTGAACTTGTTCCAAACCTGTACAAAACACATTTTTAACATAGTTCCAATCTAAATCAAACCACATTTTTAACATAGTTCAAAACATATTCGAAATATGTCAAAAGTTATAAACCAGTTTCAAACCGTTATGAACTTGTCCAAACCATGTTCAAAACACTTTCTGAATTGTCGTAAAAATTTTGAAATTGTCCAAACCTTTTTTTAAATAGTTCGAAACTTATTTTGAACTTGTTCCAAATCTGTACAAAAACAAATTCAACATAAGTAAAAGAAACACATGTAAAATATTTTTAAACAGTTCTAAATTAGTATAAAACACGTTCTGAACTTGTCCATGCATTATTTAATAAAAATTTAGAAACTTTTTCTGAACTGGTTCCAAACTTGTTGGAAATATGACCAAAATAGTTTCTATGCAACTTTGAAGTCGTTATAAACTTGTCTAAACAATAATTGTAACTAGTTTGAAACTTATTCTGAACTTGTTCAAAACATGTTCGGTATAAGTCCAAAGTTGTTATAAACAGTTACGAACTTATACAATGTTTGTAACTAGTTCAAAAGTTATTATGAACTTGTTCTAAACTTGGTCTGTCTTGTTCAAAACTTGTACAAAACATGTTCAAAATAAGACTAAAAACATTAAGACTGTTCTGAACTTGTATGGAACAGGTTTTTAACTAGTTAGAAATAGTCTCTGAACTTATTCTGAACGTGTGCGAAACACATTTTAAATTAGTTGAAACCCCTTTTAAACTAATTTGAGAGTTCTGAACTTATACGAATCACGTTTGAAATAAGTTTAAAATAAAATGTTCAAAACAGTTTTAAACAGTCCTGAACTTTTACGAAACACATTCTATATTTTGAACTTGATGGAATAACAGTCAAAATAAGTCCAAAACACTTTTAAATCAGTTTCAAACAGTCCTGAACTAGTAATAATTTCAAATTAAGTTTAAAATATACTTTAAAATTGTTTGGATTAAGTCCGAAGCACGTTCTAAACAGGTTTTAAACAGTTCTGAACTTGCTCCAACATTGTTTTGAACCAGTTTAAAACTTATTCCCATTTTATTCTAAACTTTTACGAATAAAATTCTAAATAATCCGAAAACACTTGAACAAACAAGTTTTAAACCGTTCTGAACTTATTCATACGCTGTTTAAAACTAGTTAGGAATATATTTCAAACTTGTTTTGAAACTGGTTCAAAATATATCCAAAACATTTTCTTAACATGTAAGAAACTTGTTCTGAACTCTTTCAAAAACGACAAATTTTTGAAAAATTGTTTTAGACTTTTGTCATATGATCTTGTCTTGAACTGTTAAATGAAACTTGTTAGGAACATATCCTGAAGTTTTTAAAAACTTGTGACATTAAAAAAATTTTGAACATGTTCGGAAATATTCTGAAAATTCTTCTAAACATGTTTAAAACATATTTCTCTAATATTTCAACTTATTTATCTTTAATTTTTCATCTTATTCGAAATACATTTTAAACTTATCGAAATCCTATTTTTTTGAACTTGTTGAACCTTTTAATGTAATGTAAAAAAATATTCAAATGTTATTTTAATCTTTCGTATTTTATTTAATAAGATTAAAATTGAATGTAAAAGCTATTTTAATTAGGATAGCGTCATTTCATTTTTATTTTTAGTATAACAAGTTATAAATATTCATGTTTGTGAATGTTTACCGATATATATTACTGGCAAATAAAATTTGTTTTTAGTTAATTTTGGACGGAATTGCAAGTTAAAATATCAATTTTTAGAAGGGGAATGTGCAATCGATAACTAATTATGCAGTCAACAGATGTAGAAATTGATTTATTTTTACCTCGCATTTTGTTACTTGTCTATACATATATATATGAAGTTAAAGGAAGACAACATATGGAAGAAGAAGAAGGATAAGGAGATGGGGGAGGGGGGGGGTAGAGTTAAAAATCAATACGAAGTTAAGGAAAGCGTCTTTCCTTTTAAAACCTAATAAGAACTTGTCAAAAAAAAAAAGAAGTAGAAAAGACCGAAAATCTTAAAATTTTTATTAAAAATATTTTTAATTCATTTTTTATTCAATTTTTTCATTTCATTTTTTTTTCATTCAAATTATTTCATTTTTTTTCATTCAAATGTTTTTATTTCTTTCATATTCAAAATTATTTATTTATTTTTTATCGCAATTATGTTTAGTTTAATTTTCTAAAATTTAGTTTTTTATTTCGAACCATTTATTCTATTTTTTTACTCTGAGTTATATTCCCCTAACACTTTTTTTATTTATTCGAAAAAATTAACTTATAGTTCAATAAAACTTTTATAAAATAATCCCCCTCCTCCCCCCGAAAAAATTTATTATATAATTCAAAATATTGAAATATGTTCCTGAATAATAAAAATTTTAATATTTTAAATCGAATAAAAAACGTTTATAATGGTTTATAGAAAAATTTCAATGCTAAACATGTTAGGGACGAGTATTTATTTAGTTTTTGTAGAAATTTTAAATAAATTCTGATTCGTTTTTTTGGAAAAGATTTGAAATTTATTCAATACTTGTTAGTAACAGATTTCTATGGGTCAGTAATTACAAGTTTCGAACATGCTTAGGACAAGTAATTATAACGAATATTGAAATCGTTCCAAACAAGTTTTAATAGATTATCAAACAAGTTCCAAATATGTTTGACAATAGGATTTCAAATTTGCTTTTTTAATTTTAATTTAATTTTATAAATATGTTTGCTTTTAACTAAAATTCCAATTATAATTATATTATATATAATTATTATATTATATACAATTATAATTATTATATTATAATTATATTATTATACTATAATTATATTTTGTGTTTTGAGGTTTAGGCCAAAACCAAAAAAATTATATTGTTATAATTATTTTATTATAAATATGATTATATTTAAATTTAAATTCTATGAGGGAGTTTGAATTTAGTTTAAAATAGGATTTCAAAATTGGAAAGAAATTCCAAGTTTCAAAATGTACAGAAGTTTTAGTTATATTTAATTTAATTTTCCAACACAGTCATTAATAAACACGTTTTCTCTTCTCCTGCA